AGTGAGCTTGTTCCACCATATCCCATGCTTTCTTCAATATCTTCAAATTTGAAATATTCCAGTTAGCTCTCAAAGCATCGAAATCCACAGCATCGCAGTCGTCGTCCAGAGCGCCATCCACAAACAGCCGAGAAATGTTAAGGGAGTTGAGAAACCCACCGTACAGTTGTCTTTCACCACAGTTGTTGCTATCGACCAGGCGCAGTCACCAGCTGATGACATCGACGCGGCCCAGAGAGGCAGAGAGGAGTTCTGATGACCTCAGCTGGTCGGGAGGCATGCTCTGCCCCCCCCCCCGCTCTGCGAGCCGTCCCTGACCTCGCCTAGCTCGTCCTGCGGCTGGATGTGGACCGCGTCACCGCGGCAACGCATCAAAATCAAAAGATAATACCCCGCCCGAATACGTCGCCACCGCTCGGAATTGAACCGCGAACCGCGGAATGACGCATGCAAAGCCCACCAATCGAGCTAATGTGACGAGCGACGCGGTGCAGGTAAACGACAAATTTTAATGATATAATAATACGGTTGCTTGGTACAGCGCTGAAATGGGTAAAACTTGAATTGCTCTTCCCCACAGTAGGTGCCTCTCCTCCGGGACTTGAAGCATCCACACCCGGAGTATGTCACGACCGCTGTGACGTCATAACCTTTCTGTTGTCAACGAACAACCTATTCTAGATTCATGGAATCGAAATTTTGATCAATATTTTCCTGGCGTCTCTCGCTGGATCGCCAGTGTCAGTTTCTTCACCCTCATTTGTACTTTTGTATTTGCTACCGAAGACATGGCCGGCAGTGGTTAACAAGAATCATATGGATGGATGAGCATGTACTTATTTCAACTGCGAAACATGCACTAATTCAGTATGACAGTACCATCCGATCACATCCTCTATATCGGCCTATGTCTATAAGTCAACAGTAAGCATGATTAAGGCTATTTGAAAAAGTATTTGGTGACCAGAAATATTGTTTTTAAACAATCATCGGTTATCAAAGCTATGAGGCAACACGTGGATTCATGCGCCCTGAAAGATCGCGCTTTGTCATGCCGTGTCTGCCACAAATCGAGCTTGCCTTCTCCCCTGGGTAGTGCAGGGGAGCCGAAATGGTTTGGTGATACGATACCCAAGAGGAGCGGATCGCCCCCCCCCCCCCCCCCCCACCGCTCCGGTAGGACGATACGAGAGCTGAACATTTAGGTCAGCTTAAACATTTAATGTTCGGATGAGTATATTCAACTATGGTATTCTAAAACCTATACACATCATTTTGGTTGTATTCATGGTCAGGTAAGCTTAATTTGCCCCTGAGATATTCACACAGATCGTCGCATAAACGCCAGCTTACTGGTAGGGGAGCCAAACATAGGGAGGATACATTTCCTCGGGTAACACATACATACTTCTATGTTTATGCCCAAAATTGAAGTTGTGCAAACTTGTTTTCGGTCCCAAAAACAAACCTGAATGCATTGTGAAAATATTCGAAAGAGATCTGGGTACTAGGTGTTGTAACGACACTTCGTGTGAACCTGCATATATATATATATATATATATATATATATATATATATATATACACTCAGGGAAGCCACATAAGGATAAAATAAGAATGATATCATACACTTGCACGGTGCAGTGCGGCATCACCGCAACCATTTTACTGCACGACGCCGCTCGGAACTCGTGCGCACGAAAACCCCAAATCATCACAGATAACCGTCGTATTTCAGCACCGTATATTGACCATGACTGACACATACACGGAATAGACAGAGAGCTTCTGACATATGGAAGCGAAACGGCAAATTTCTGCGGGGAATGTATTGATTCAAGTACGTTATGCAAAACGGCTGAATAGCTATGACCCTTGGAGGAAGACACAAATGGAGCGCCACGACGCCCGCGCCCCACGGCGCCCACACACAGAGTGACGCGCCTGGTTGAGTTAGCGCTTCTCACTGGCACCCTCGCGTACGCTTGCTGTGCCGGTCACCTAACAGATACGATCTCATTTCAACTCGGTATTCGTGCCACACTACACTGACCTTCGCAAATGGGCCAGCCGCCGACCAAACATCTGAATATCTATTTGGAATATATTTTCAAAACCCATCAGGCTAGATGTTTTTTTATTATTCTAAAAAAAAAACATTAAAGCTAATAATCGTTAACCATCTTATTGGAAAACTAATGCACAGCACCCGTAAAAACCTCCATAAAGTTATTTTTCGAAGCACTTGGAAGAGCGCATTTGCTCTCTGCAGGCATGCACACAGCTCCCGCTTAAGTTACAGTCATGGAGCCCAGTCACATTCCAGGGCACGACATCGTCAGCCAGAGAGACAACCGTTCAGAGTTTGCATCTAGACATCCCTTTGGACTGTCGGTAACCCAATAGATTTAATTCGCACAATTTCCATCCTCGTGTAAAAAAACAAATATCACGTAAGATGTTCAGTGCATTAGCGATGAGCATTATTCACATAGATAAGACAGGAGTATTAGCCTTATTCCTTGGAGATGTATAGGGGAATAAATTCATAGTTGGGTGTAGGCATAGAACCCTACTATATCTCTATTCTCCTGGGTTTTCTCCGAGGAATCAGGCTAATAGTACTGTCTTATCTATGTAAACAAATATCACCCACATTTCAATAGCTATGCTCAACGGAGGGGTGGGCCAAGAACAGGGCGCTGCGTCGGAAATGGTATTAATTCACGTGGCGTCGGTAAAGGGGTAAGAGCCCTCAACTCTGGACCTGTTTGTCATGGGTCGTGCTGCCTGCGACGTCACTACAGCATGGCACCTAATCAAGGCACCCCATCTCGAAATGACCTTGGCAGTGGCGGAACGTTAAGCCCCTAATTGTTATCAATTTCGCAGCCTGTTCTCATTCACGTTTTAGCATATCAGGTACCCGTGAGCGAATATGAATGCCAACGCATCGACACGACGATGGTGTGTTTTTACGCGCACACGCTATAGTTACTGAGTGATGCTCTTGACCTCGGACCGAAGTAAATGTCCTGTCGAATGACACAACTGCCAATAACTAAGTCACCTCGCTGCCAGCAGAGATTCACCAGTAGGACACGAATCATCTCGCCATCAATGAGAGGAGCTGGTCCAATGCGGACGAGTTCGTTTAGCCGGTTTCAACGCAGTCATTATCGTCCACCGCCCGCGTCCTGTTGTTGTGTCGCCGCCATATCGCCAGCGGCGTTCAAAACCGTCCAGCCTATGCGAAATTGGTCTCTGAAGGAGGCATGTCGCCGCAGTGCCAAAGGTCACAGTTTCATCGCGGGAGGGAAAACGATTTGTTTCAGTTATCAGACTCACACGGATTCTGCCTCAACGGTGATATCATTTTTTTTCTTCTAACGATCAACGCCAGGGTCACAGCTTTGAAAAGACCACAGTGAGGATAAAAGTACCAATTAGGCCGCGTCTTTTGCGCATGACATTAGGACGTTTTTACCTTCTTTAGGTAAGCAATCTCGTCTTTCTCTGAATGACGATTGTGAGTTGGCGAGAGCAACGCAAATTCCATCCTGATAAGTGGGAATTGTGAGCAAGTGTGCTTATATCGATAATAAATGTAACCCCAGTTAACAAGCCCTTACTCCGTGGCCAGTTAAGTATAAGTCATAACATAAGGTGCCCTTTCCATGCATTTTACGTGATGAAGCACGGTTGTAGAACGTCCAATCAATTGTGAGTGTCCAATCCCTTTCTGAAGCAATTACGCACATGTATTACCGAAGGAAAATATTTGATTGACATCATGGGGTCAATGTTTAACTTCCATTCAAAAGTGAGAGCTTTGACTACGTTTGATAGGGTCAAACCCTTTCCCTCTGGTACCTTCGCCTGCAAACTGCTGTCAAAATTTTTGCCAACCATACCATAAGTCATGCAATCATATCACACGTCCTGCATTGCCGAGCTCGTAAATGTGTTGTGGTGGTTAAATTATGCCTCGTGGTTTATGAAATAGCTTTTGAAATGCAAGTGAACACAAATGTGCTTGACGATACGGGAGCGATTACCCATATCCCACAACAGATGTGACCTAACCTTGAGGCGGTGTTAAACTGGTTCAGGTCACATTAGGGCGAGAGTATGAGCCGCCGTCCGTGGCAGCAACTGGTAATTAACACTAACGATTAATCCTACTGGTTCGTAACCGCCGTTTCCAAGCGTAACTAGCAACACACGCCAGGCTCAGAATGAATGGGAAAATATGTCAGCCCACACAAAAAGACAATACTGCGCCGGCCCCGCCTTTCCTGACCCCCTCCCCCTCGCTACGCCGTGCTCAGCGACGTGGAGCGGCGGGCACGGCACCGTCGGTGGCGGCCCCGGCCCCGATCATCCTGCCATTCATCAAACCCGGCCGCGTCGGGGCGGCGCGACTATTTTTGCTCGCGCCGGCGTACGCGCGGCGCTCTCACGACTCTCGGCTTTCAGCCGGAAACGGGCGGCATCCGGTCGGGGCGGTGCGGTATCCGGCGGGGCGGCGGCGCGCGGTGGCGCCACCTGGGCCGACGGCGCCCCCCCGGAGGAGGGGGCTGCCCGGGGGATGTTCCCACGGGAACCAGGTGCCGCCGGAGTGCCGGTCAACAGGGAGAGTGCTGCGTAGTCTTATACTTCACGCGCCGACGCGGAGTGTTGGAAAGGGACGGCAGGGCGCTAGTAAAGCGCTGAGGACTTACCCGGGCGGCGACCAGGACGCGACGCCAGCCTTCTACTCCAAAGCGTCGCTTACTGATTCAGGGTTACTTCCTCCGCTCTGAGACCGACCGGTCGTCACCACTCACCGCGTTCAGCGTCCGACCATCACGTTCCCCGAGCGCGACCCTGCGTTCTCCCGTCACGCAAACGGCGGCTTTGTACCATTGTCTCATGCGCGGGGGAGCGTCACGACTGTGAAGCGGCGGTTCGGCTGCGTGGAGGACTGCAGGGGCCCGATGTCCCATACCGTCATAGAGCTACGGGATGCTCGACTGGAAAAGGCCAAACAGGCCTGCGCGGAGCGAAATGGACGTCCAGAAACTCAGCCAAGCTGAAACGTTTTAAACAATTTGCGTGCGTTAAGCCGACAGTCCTACACTTTTAGCACCTGTCACTGAAGTTTACTGTAGCGCGCACGCGAAGGGCGGGCATTTTCTCTGAGTCACTCGCATCGACAGCTCGGGCGCTCGCCGACAGCTCGGGCCCACAGAGGCCCCGGCGCTCGCGACGTTACTGCCGTGCCGTTCGGAGCAGGGCTCCGGCCGCCACTTGGCACCGGCGCACGGCTCAACACCCGCGGCCAGTATCGTCCTGTATTGATCACATACATCAAAGTTATTATAGAAAAACGCGCGTCCATTTGGCAACGAACAGCCGTCAACAGGTTACAACAGCGGTCTCGCCAACAGAAACACAACGTCGACTAGATAACAGCTCATCGGCGCGGCACCTGGGACCTGGTCAGGGTTCGGCGACCTTTGTCGCCTCAGGGGGACCTGGACCCGCCGCAGGCGGCGCCGCCATGCCGACGGGGCCGGGACACTTCCGCTCCCCACCGGAAAGACGGAGCTATCGTGCCGGAAGCTCCAGGATGGGGTCGCAAGGCAAGGCGACGCCACGTGTTGGTCGGTCGGCCGCAGCCGGTGCACGTCCACCGGCTTCTCGTTGATGTCGTTCGCAGTACAGCGCTTCCAAAGTCGAAACGAAATGCTAATCAGGATCGACGTAAAATAAACAAAAGTGACCTTTTCCATGCAAACCTGTGCTACTAAATGCAATCGTTCTGGTAATAACTCCGGTGCATTGTGGAGACACATCATACCACGGAGGCAGCGAGCGACGCGAACACAAAGCACAGGGATACGGCCTGGCCAGACTCAAATTACCGTGACTAGCGGCTGGGAGCACACGGGTCTTCGGCTTCCTCGCCAATAAATTATCTCAAAAGATACTCAGCGAGTCTACAAAATAAATAACATCTCTGGCCACCTGCCTGGCCGCAGCGCAGGCGGTCGGCGCGCCGCTGAGCACTCGTCAGCGCCGCCGACGGCCGAGACGCCGCTGCCGCCGGCCGCCTCCAAGTCAGTCTCGCGCGCACAGCCGGGGCGGGTCACAGACGGCCGGCCGGTCGGCGCGCCGCGCCACAGAGCCGGCGTCACCGCCGGCGCCGGCGCCGGCGCCACGCGGCGGGCAGGCGCAGCCGTCGGCGCCGGCGCGACCGTAGCAGGCCTCTGCCAGCCGGGCAGCGGCGCGCAACGGCCAATAGCAGGCGAGGCAGGGTACGAGCGCGGTGAGCAGCAGCAGCGCCGTCCAGCGCACGCAGCAGCTGGCGCCGGCCGGGCCGCACGCGCACGGCCGGTCGACAGCAGGCGAGCCGCTGTCGGAGGCGGCGCAGTGGTAGGCCGCCGCCTTCACGCAGCACACGCACGACGCCCAGTCCACGCACGTGTCGGCCGAGAGCAGGCACGTGCGGCCGCAGAGCAGGCGCTGCGGCAGCACGCGCGGCGTGCGGCACGCCTCGCAGCGGCAGCGGCCGCACGCAGGGCACACGATCGAGTCAGCTTCGGGCGCGGCGGCGCCGGCCGGCTCCGGCGCCGACTTCAGCGGCGCCGGCTGCCCGGTGACCGGCGCCGCCTTCTTGGCGGCGCGCTCGGCGGCGCGCCGCTCGGGCGGCGGCCGGCCGGCGCTGGCCGCCGCCGGCCGGTCACCGCCACCGCACGTCCGGTGGGCGGCGTCCGGCGCGCGCGAGTAGACGTTGGTGGCGCGCGCTGGGCCCGGCCTCGGCCGCTCGAGGGTGACGGCCGGCGCCGGCGCGCGGTGCACGGCCGGTAGCGTGGCCGGCCGCGCAGCGTGCTGTCCCACCACTGGACGGCCATCCAGGGCCATGTGGTCACATGGCCCTTACGCACTGGAACGGGAACAGGGGGGAGTGCGTCAGACGGGGCGGGAGCGGGGCGCGATATGGGCGACAATCTAAGTCAGAAACGGCGTATATATTTGGTTGACAAATACCGTTTTTGGTACAGCACATATGCGAAAACCTAAATGGTAAGAAGGGTGCAGTTTTATAAGACAAACATGTAACTCTATTCATCGTCTACCGCTTAAGATAGACGACATTAAATTTTGGCTCCGAGACAAGTGCCAAACGCCAAAAGTATTCGCATTTTTAACACCCGGCAGGCACGAAGCATGATACACATTTTGCGTGCCCTGGCCACTGTATGGGTAGCCGTGACTTGCTCAGGCAAATGTCAAATGGGGACTGGGGACGCGTCCCCGAGCCCTACACAGACCAATCAACGGACCGCGCGAGACGACACCCGGTTCAGAGGTCACTGAAAAACAGGAAACGGCACACGATCTTCAAGTCACGCCGGTGATAAATTGAAGGAACTGAATGTGATACGATCACAGGGTCAGTGGTAACGTGACGTCAGTGATCGGCATGGGATCGCCTAGTCCGTTATCTGGGACTACCGAGCGCCGTCGGGGTCACGAGGTGAGCGAGCTCGGCGGGGATGGGAACCGGGAGGAAGGGGGGGGGGGGGGCAGGACGGAAACGCCTTGTCGGCGCCTACGTGAGCACCTGCTGTCAAAGGATGACCGGGCGTTATTAGCCCATCACGTAGCCGGAATCAGCACGCCGGTGGCGCCCGAGCGTCGGTGACCCATGTCGGCGGCACGGCCCCGCGGGTGCGACCCGTCAACGTAGGGCAGGACGTGGAGCAATAACTGACGTGAAAGGTCGCGACGCTTATGAACCGACAGCTATATCGACCAAAGGCTCACCAGTCGGCCAGTGGTGTAACGGTAATCAGGGGCGGTGCATCGCGGTTTCGGGGTCGTTTCCGGGTCGGCAGACCGGGACACGGGGTCGGCAGACGGGTGCCGCGCCGCGCCGCCGCCGACCCCCCCCCCCCCCCCCCCCTGCTCCCACTCCCGGCTCCGCCGATGCAATGTAACGCGGCTGCCGGCATCCGACGCCGCGTCCGGCGGCCACAATTGACAATGACATTGGGAACACGAGCGGACGGGCACAATGGTGCCCCCTCCCCCGCCCGCACCCCGCCCGACTAGCGCCTGCCGCCCGCTGACGGCGACGTGATGCGGACAGCCGGACTGTGGCTGGCGGTCCCGGCGCCAGGCTGAGAGGCGCCACGCCGCCGCGGTGGCCCCTGTGGCGGGACACCAGCGGACATCGGCACAAAACCGCGGCCAAGCGGTGCGTAGATTAACGTAGCACCGATCTATTGGCAATGGGTAACAGATTGTCCAGGAACAAGAACGTTGGGTTGCCGCCACGCAGGTCAAGATATCAGGCTGCTACCACAACGACCCAGATTTGAAAGGAATTGGCTATGCTCCGTAAGAAATGGAGCAGAAACCTTCGCGAGGCCGGTGGCAAGTTGCACAGATCGTGGGCGCATTCGAATACTCGCAAAATTAAGAACAGATGCATTAATGCTTTCCTCGACATCGACTAAAACGGATGCTGGAGCTTCGCAAGCGATACGGTCTTCTCGCAAGCGATACCCGATAAAACAAGTGGCAGTAAAAAAAAACAACCTCTGCTTAATCGAACGGCTCGCCTCGCCCATTTAAATCATCTGGTCCCAGAAACTGCAAGGGGAACGTGCCTTTTGGCAAGCCGGTCACAATACGTCATCTTTTGTGTCGTGACCCAACGTCTCTGGGTACAGCAGCCCTAATGATGCATGTACGCAAGTAGGCTTGGCCTGGGCGCATCGCATGCTGCCAGTCAGCGCCCGGTTTTCAGATCTAGATATGCACATACAGATCAGACATGACACAGCGGGTGACGCCCTTTACTAGTGAGAGCTGCGAACGCAAGCGATATGCCAAAATGTTACCAGCACATACAATGACACCACTTGCGAACAGTAGCGTCGGATCCTATGCTCTCCGCCCATCCCCGCTTGTAAATTGCATCAGTAGGTCTGACGTATGATCAAACGGAGATAAAGGATTGACGCGATCAGCAAAGCCTTCGAAAAACCTGGGCAACCGCACCTTACCTATGCAGAACCGCTGGTAGCGACTAGGAAGCCCATCTGCCCGCTGCCGGCGAACGACATGCACCCGCCAGCATGAGCACGTTCTTCCCTCGGCGCGAACGCTCGGGTGTGCCTCCAGCACATTCTGAACCGGCTCTGTGCGCAGGGCCCGGGACGGCGACGGCCGCCGCCGCCGCCGCCGCCGCCGCCGCCGAGATGGCAGGCCCGCAGGGTTCGCGGAAACCCGGGCGGACGGCCGGCGCGGCACACCACACGCTCCTCAATGTCTATATAAAGACGGCAAATACCAGATTACGGCGTGGTATGGGATTCCGACACGCCGCCGCACGGCAGGACTGCCGTGCTCCATCGACGGCGGAGGGGGAGGGGGCGGTGGTGACCGGCGGGTACGGCCACTCCAGTGGCGTTTACATAATCTTATGTAAACGCGATTCGGCTACTTTGCAAACCAGACCTTGGGCTGGATTGCAGAGGATCCTCCGACCTCCACTGGCGAAGAGCACCTGTTGGCCGGTCGTACGGTATTTGATAACCACCGAATACCATGATGGTTACCGCACTCTCTCGGATGCTACGGCCATAACGTGCGTGGTAATACCCCGTCTTGTGCCCCGTCTTCCTCCCCAGTCTGGGAGAAGAAGCTATTGTTCGGCATAGAAGGCGACGTCCCTCACCGAGGTCCGTTTTGCTGCGCTCCTTTCAGCTGGCGACTCTCTAGCTTTCTGCGCGTGCCATGGTGCTTCTGACATCGGTGGCTTGGACGAGAAGACGTAGACGCAAACTCGGCTGCATTTTCCGCTCAACTGTGCCCGACATTTGTTCGATGTCCAAACTGCAAGAGTTAGTTTTAATACTAAAATGTTGCGATTGGCACGCGCCATCTTTACGATGTCATAACACACCGCGTGTCGAGCACAATTAATACCGATTCATCACATATGTGATCAGTGTGAATCAGTGTGAAACGACGCAAAATTAATCCTCGTCCGCTGCGAAAACATTCGCTACTTGAAATCGCGCGCCACTTGAATATCTGTGAAACTTTGTCACATTGCGCTTTTGATAGAAGACCATGTTTGATCAAACGGTTTGGATATATCTTGTAGGTCGTGTCGCATTTAGTTTAAGTGATTGCGTTCATCTTTCCTAAAAAATGTATGAAGCTTTGATCAAAGATGGTAAAGCCCTTTGCTTGTAAATTATGGCGGTCGGGCCCAGCCGGACACTGGGACGTTTACACAGCAAGTTCCACTGTTCAAGTAATATTTGTTGAAAAGTTCCACACAGGCCAATCAATATTCGTTCGGCCTGATGCCACGCTGGTGACAAGACCACGCGCCACAAGTCAACACGCTGGGGTTGGTGATGGCGGGTGATGTCAGCTTCAGCGCCGCTACCAAAAGCAAGCGCATCCACAAGTAATGACCCCGGTGCAGATGCCGATGACATGCAGGCCCCCCGTAGCGAACAGATGACACACACCCGAGCAGCGCCCGTAACTTAACACGCATTCAAGCACAGGTCTGCACTGGCAGAACAGCGTTCCGGCGATTGGGGATGGGCTCCGTTCCGGCAGGTTTACGGCGTCCTCGCATCCTTCGCCACCCCCGCGACATGCAAACATCAACACAGATGTTTGACGCGTTGGTGACCGGTATGCCCTAATAGCGAACAATACAGTGACGATAACACTTCATCTTCGTCACGAGGGCGCGCCGTTCTCCAACGCTAAGAGAACGAACATCCCAGCCAGCGTCATTATACAGAGCCTATCGCCTTTCCACTCAGATGCGTAACCACGAAGCAAAGGTCCCTAGCGAGAAGCCGTGAGACCAGGTCCCTAGCGAGAAGCCGTGGGAGCAGGTCCCTAGCGAGAAGCCGTGAGCGCATGTCCCTAGCGAGAAGCCGTGAGAGCAGGTCCCTAACGAGAAGCCGTGGGAGCAGTCAGACCATCCCGACTTAGCCAGACAGACCGCTCCGGCGGTGCAGCCAGCCCCTGAGCGTAGCGGCCCACGGAGACCGGCGCCGACGAGCGAGCACACCGAACTAAACGGCCCGGGTCGGGGGTCAGCGGGCGCGGGGTCGGGCTGACCAGACGGTGTTTGACCTGCGTTTCCGGCAGCCGGGCCTGTTTGCCGGCCGCACCGTGACCCGGCTGACCCGGCGCTGGGTGCTGAGCCACCCCTCACGCCCGCTCAGGTCAGTGACCGGCCGTGTCCGGGCCCCGGACACCGTCGCGCGCCGGCGACGTCGCCAAGGGGCGTCGGACCGACCTTGCGTACTGGCAGTATCAAACCGGCCAGCTTGTCAAGCAGTGTGTCAAGCAAGCGGGTCAGGCAAGTTAAATGTATGAAATGATGCCCCGGTAATGCGTCACAATCGAGCAAGTCCGACGTCGTGCGTTCGGATCCCGCGACAGGCCTGCCTCCAATACGATGTTTCGACTTCGAGTGTCGTTTCCACAATCAATTCGACTCAGTGTCTCTTGTGCGCGGGTTGTCCTCACCTTCAGTGTCACGCTCTCGGTCAGTTGGAACTAGACCGAGTACCCGCCCTGGCGAGGTTTGGCACTGGTGTGTCCGGTGT